GGGGGGGGGGAGAGAGTAAGGGAACCAACCCGAACAGGGTATTGATATTTATGGGCTTAACACAGGATGAGGAGGAGCAAGGCGAGTGGGCTGTTACTTCTTTATTGGCTGAGAGTTCACGCCACTTCAGGGATTGGAGGTGCGCCATTCACAGGGATTGGAGGTGACGGTTCACGCGCCATTCAGTGCATGATGGACCTGAGCTCCGGGAAGAGAAGTGCTCTGGGCGCCAACTTTCCTGAGCTCCTGGAAGAGAAGCACTCTGGGCGCAATCTTTACCAACATTCCTCCCTTTTTTGTTTTGGTTTGGGGGCATTGTACTAGATCTGGCTACTTCCTGCTGAGTAGGGGCGTTGTTTAGAGGGAGGGAGGGAGGGAGGTCAGTTGGTTGGAGAACAAGGGCCAGGAGGCCCATTATCCATGCGCTGAAGGCATCAGTTTCCTCTGGGGAGAAGTCCATAAATGTGCCCTGCGGCTATGAAAAGAAACAGCATTAATTTCTGTCATGTGGTCCAGTCTGTAGGGCTGGTAGAAAAAGCCTATGCCCAGGAGAAGGCAGATTAGAACATATAAAGCTTAAAACCAAGGGCTTATTTCTTTGGCATGGTGGGGTAGAGATGGCCCTTCGGTGGAGTTGTCATTTGGTATCTTCATCTTTCAGCACTCCGTGAAGGTTTCTTGGGATGACTAGATGTGCATGTCGTCTGGCTCATTGGCAAGTAGCTGGTAATCCCTGAGGAGGAGCTGATTGAAAGTTTGGTTAGAGACTTTGTTAAATTTGTCCTTGAAGGAATTTTAAAATGCAAGGAAGGAAGGCACAGAACAAAAAGACCAACTAGAGGTCCCAGTATCGAGAGAATCCAGCAGCTGACGGGGTTTGTGAAGAGGTCCCAATAGGATTGTTGTGCCAATTGCTGATTTCTAAAAAGGGTGTGGGTGTACTGTGTTGCTGTGGGTTCCTAGATCCTATCTGGAGGCCCATTCTTATGTGTGTTCTCCTCTGGAATGGGATGAAGGGTGGTGCATGACTGTGAAAAACAGAGCTTGAGAGGGTTATCTGGGGATATCTCACAGGTAAATCTGGGCGATTGTGGGGGTCCTGCAAGGTTGGGAGCTGTGGTGGGATTGTCCTCTGGAGGGCTTGCCACCATTTTTAACCTAGAAATATGAATCCAGGGGGTTTCTTTCCTTCCTGTTGGAGTTTTGCAGCATTGGGTGTACACAGGACTACCTGTAATGGCCCTTCCCATTTTGGGGTTAGGGGAGATATTTCCCCTGGGTAAGAAAAGTAGACCCATTCTCCTGGTTTGAGCGGAAAGGTGACAGCTGAGTTCTCTGGATCTGGAAGCAACCAATCTTGTTGCTTCCATAGCTCAGAGCATATAAGGAAGAGGAGGTGAAGAGCATATTGGTCGGGGAGGGGCCAAGGCTCTGGTGAGATTCCTGTGGGGAGAAGGGGATGACAATACATTATCTCAAAGGGGGAAGCAAGGGATGGCTTTTTTGGTAAAGCCCTCATGCGTAGTAGGGCAAGAGGGAGGAGTTTAACCCAATCTAAATGAGTCTCTAAAGATAGTTTCGTTATGATGTCTTTCATTGTGTGGTTGGCTTGCTCAACCTTACCTGAGGCTTGGGGACGATAGGGACAATGAAAGTGCCATGGGATGGACAATGTCTTTGCCACATTCTGGGTTACTTGAGAGACAAACTCAGGCCCATTGTTAGATTGGATTGAAGCAGGCTTCCCAAACAGAGGGATTACTTCGGTTAGGAGGATGTTAGCAACTGTGGTAGCCCGCTTATTTGAGGTGGGGAAGGCCTCTACCCAACCCGAGAATGTGTCTATTAAAACTAGTATGTATTTGAAGTTTTTTACTATAGGCATATTGGTAAAGTCAATTTGCCAATCTGCCCCGGGAATATGGCCCCTAGCCTGGTGAAAAGGGAAGGTTCCAGGTTTTAAAGATGTATTGGAATTCACTCTTTTGCATATCTGGCATGAGGCTGTGATTTGCTGTATCACTTCTTTATCCTGGGGAGTCAGAGTAAAGAAAGAGTGGAGAAAGGCTTTGAGAGTCTGTGGACTGGTGTGGAAAATGGAGTGGAGGTAAGTAAAGAGGGCATGTTTAGGTGGGTCTCCATTATTGGGTAATGATGGAGAGCACGTGGCAATGAGAGATCCAGTGAGGTCTGAAAGGGCGGCTGACCTGGCTGCCTGATATGATTTAGAATTCCCCTGTGTGATGGGGGAGGAGTCATTTTGGTGTGATCTGCAATGGACAACTCCAAGTTTTTTAGGAAGCTAGGAGGCTTGTAGTAGCTGGGTGATGTATGTGGAACTGGTTATGGAGGTTCCTTTTGAGTTCAGGAGACCTCTCCCCTTCCAAATTGCTGCATGAGATAAAAGAATGTGGAAAACATATTTGGAATCAGTATAAAGCGTAAGATTTTTCCCTGCTGCCAATTCTCAGGCTCGCGTTGCAGCTACCAGCTCAGCCTGTTGGTTGGTGGTATTTGCAGGCAGGGGATTGGCTTCTATTACTTGTGATAGGGACACTATGGCATATCCAGCTTTTCTGATCCCCTCATGCATAAAGGAGCTGCCATCAGTGAACCAGGTGTAATCAGGTTGGTCTAGAGGTCCCTCAGTGATATTAATTGGGCATGGGAGGAAGTTTTCTAGAATTTCCCTGCATTTATGTATTGGGGACTGTGTTTGACCTTGGGCCTGAATAGGTAACAGAGTTGCCGGGTTGAGAGGGGTGCAGGTTTGGAAGGACACGGAGGAGTCATAGAGGAAAGAGACCGAGAGAGAGAATTCGACAGGGAGGGAGGGTTTGCAGTCCTTTGTATGTTAGCAAGTCCGTGAGGTGACAAGGGGAGGTGACAGTGATTTGGGCTCCAAAGGTAAGCTTTTGTGATTCCTTTAATAAAACATAGGAGGCCGCTAGGGCGAGGAGACAAGGAGCCCACCCCGGACAGTTGGATCTAACTGTTTTGAAAGGTATGCCACTGGAGCAACGGTGGGCCCATACATTTGTCCCAGCACCCCCAAGCCTTGCCCTTTGTTTTCATGAACATCTGGCAGGTGTAGAGCCGGTGCTTGTAAGAGGACCTTCTGGAGGGTTCTGAAATGTGGTGTTGCTGAAAGTAACAAGGGCTCATGCTTGTTCCCCTTTGCTAGATCATATAATGGTTTGGCAAGTAATGAGAAATCTGGTACCCATGCCCTAAAATAGCCTGCCAGACCCAGGAACGAGAGGATCTCCTCTTTAGTTTTTGGTACTGGAAGGGTTTCAATAAGGCCTTTTCTATCGGTTGTGATAGCTTTCTTTCCTGGGGAAATGTGGAACCCTAAGTAAACAACCTCAGAGAGAGAGCTGCACCTTTTGCAGAGAAACCCTATATCCTCGGTGAGCAAGAAAATTCAGAAGGGTGGCTGTGTCCGACTTTGAGGTTTCTAATGAGGGACTACAGAGGAGGAGGTCATCAACATATTGTAGGAGGGTTGAGTCAGGGCATAGAGGGAAAAAATCCTCAAGATCTCCAGCGAGGACTTGTCCAAAAATATGTGGGCTGTCTTGAAACCCCTGGGGCAGGACAGTCCAGGTTAACTGTTGGCAATGTCTAGTTTCTGGGTCAGTCCAGGTGAAGGCAAATATGTCTTGGGAAAAGGCAGAGAGTGGAATCGAAAAGTAGGCATCTTTAAGATCAATAACTGAAAAATAGGTGGAGTTAGCAGGAATGGAGGAAAGGATAGTATAAGGGTTTGGAACCAGGGGATGTATGGGCCTGGTTGAAGAACTTATTAACTTTAAATCCTGCACCAAACGGTATGTTCCATTAGGCTTTTTTACTGCTAAAATTGGGGTATTGAATGGAGAGTGTGTGGGACCGAGGAACTCCTTTCTTAGTAAGCTCTGAATGATTGGCTTTAGGCCCTTAAGACTGGCAGTTGGCAGTGGGTATTGAGCCTGGTTTGGGAAGTGG